ATGCAGATGAGTGATTGCCAGACCTTTCTTACAAGACACCTCTGGATGGACTCAAATCTGCAGAGTGCATTAACCATATGCACTACCCAGGTACTTTTTGGTGCCTCTAAATGTCTATCTAGACTATATTTCAAGAAGCACAGATCTAATTTATGATGCAATCCAATTAACAAAAAAAATTCTGTACCTATTTCTGTAAGTTTTAAACATCAACATCAGTGTGCAGGTTAAAATTATTCCATTTCCATAGTAAAACAGTATTTTGTTCATTGACCTACATATAAAGGAGTTTGTGGAGTTTTTTGAAAAGGCTTTCTTATTTATCTTTCTGTACCCTTTTGCACATTTTAAGTTACAGAGATACACAAGGAGTTTAATTATTTACCAAGAACATTCTCATTTCTCCACCAACCAAATGTCTCTAAATGAAACTTGATGATGAATTATCCTCACCAACTTACTGGCATCTTTGGAAAGGGACATCATTCTCAGAAAGGTGGAGGGTTATAAAAAGAGCAGGAGGGGAAGACCCTCAATGTGAAGGACTGACACAGTACTGCAGCAATGGGCTTAAGTGTGAGAGAGAGAGATGATGCAGATGGCACAAGATAGGGTTCAGATCTGCTGTTCATCAGGTCAATGATGAGTCCTATTTGACTAAGTGGTACTTAAATGCGCCACACAAATTTTAATACTAATGATGTCGTTAATGCTGAAAGGTAATTTCTCAAAAACTTTTCACAAAAAAAAGCCATGCCTCTAGTTTTATATAAACTTCAGTTTTACAAACACTTGTTTTCATCTTTTCACATAATGATAAACTGCTATTTCAAGATGATTCTGTCAAGATTAAAACTAGATATTCTGATTTAAACCAGCAATGAGATTTTTGAGTTTAAATGCTGACAGATGACACATTAGTTTATCTAGTGAAAATTAGTCCAAATTGTCAGGAAATTATTGCCTTCCATTTAATCACTTAATAATGGCATTAACCAGAGTACAACTTCTAGTGACACTATTTTTCAAATTAAAAAATTCAACCGAGTTATACTTGGAAATGAAAAGACTGATTATTTTAAATTGAAAGTTTCTCAGAAAATCCATGCCACATGTACATATACTTTTTACTTTATTGATTAGACAGTACTTAGACATTTTACTTTTTGCTGTTTAAAAAACCCAAACAAACCAAGCCCAAAACAAAAAATTATTCTCATGGATTTGATTCTAACTCATAGCAACCCTATTCAACAAAGAACTGTACCAAAAAGTTTTCCAGACAGGCTGCAAGTCTTTACTGAAGCAGACCACCATAACTTTGGAATTGGTGGATCCAAATGGCAGCGTTTTAGATTAGCAGCTAAGTGCTTTAACCATTAAAGTTTTTGAGGTGTCCCCCACCCCTGGGCTAGATCCACTAGAATTCTGCATATTTAATTAAGTAGCATATATTTATCTAACACACAGACAGGGCACACATTTATACTTTCAAAAACTGTCTTCAAGAAATTAACCTTCCAGTCCTGTAGCAACTTTACAAATGTCTTCAAATGAAATGATGTAACAGAGTGCCAGCTGTAATTTTTGAACATTAAATGTTATTAGATATCATTTCATCAACACTGTCCTTTTACAGAAAACTGAAGCCTCCAAAAGGAAATCACTACCATACTAACTTAACAAAGTTATTAAGTAACAGCTGGATGTTTAGTCTCTCTCATCTCTTGACTTCAGAGTTAAAACTTTTTAATACATCATGTTGCAATTCAAGTTCCATCTCAAGTATTTACCACAAAAATATTTTTATATGAAGGCTATGAAGGCTACAGTGATTTTAAATTAAGTCACCATACACATTATCGAAGTCTCTCAAAAAGGGAAGACTGTATCATGCAAGAAAAGTACGTCCTTCATACTTGCTTAAAAATAACACAAACCAGTAATATTCAATTTAAATTTTACCTCCTCTAGAAATATCCCTTAGTATCAATCATCTAGTATCAATCACCACTAATCATTATTATACTAACTGTAGCCATATTAACATGTTATATAGATTTTGGTCTGTCTCAAGACTAAAATCTTGTCCTGGAAGCTATGTCTAACATTTGCTTACAATCTCTTAAACCCAAAGGGATGAGAAGGTACCATTCTGTCCATTTTGCAAATGAAAATTTTACAAACATGATCTTCCACTATCTGGAAATAAGATGGAACAAAAGCTATAACCATGATTCCTAATATTCCAGAGCTACGTTTTCTCCTCAACCTTTGGTTACCAGCACAAAAAAACTTTGCACAATCCCACTAGGATTCCTTTTCTCCCCAACTTTTAATTCAATGGATTAACCTTAGGTAAGTTGGCAAAATGGTCACAAATTCCCCTCTAAAATAAAACTTGTAAAATAGTTTCAGGTTACATGAAAATGACTGGGGAAATAACAATGATGTGCTGTGCTACTGAGTGAGAACTGACTCATATTTATTATAAAACATTATGATCATAAAAGGAAACTATTTGTAAGGTGTGTAAATATTTTTTTTAATGGAATTTAACTACTAATTGCATTTAACCTTTAAAAAAGCCTTACTTTATAAAATGGGATTAAACTTTTGTTCTTTGAAGAACATTGGTTTCCCAATGTGGACAGTGTTTGGTGGAGATCCCAGTTGTAAAACAGGTTTGGAATCAGGAGTGACATCCACTTCCTAAACCACATGCCTCTGAGAACTCTATGAATTTGGAGAAATGACGATAGTTATGGAAAGGCATTAGGTCTTCTGTTCAGAGTCCCGCTCAACTCGAAGGCAATCAACAACAACTACAACAACTTTGAAGAACAGTCTCTACCCAGCACAAGCAACACAAGTTACATAGTTTCGTTGGTAATCACAAAATTTTGAGAAATACCTTACATTGGCAAAACTAAGCCACATTAGCTCTGGTGGCCTAGTCTGTACGGAGTTGTGCTGTTAACTCAAGGTTAAGTTTCTCTGGTGGTTTGAATTCCACAGCAACTCTGGTAGAAATATGGGCCATCTCCTCTAGATTTTAAAACTCGGAAACCCCGCTAGAAATCAGCTAAGAGTCAGTTCCAACATAACGACAAAGAGTTTTTTCACCTTTCCCAGCATTTTTCGCTGGCTTTTCGAAAGTTCCCTAGGCATGTTCGCAACCATTTAAGAGCATCCCTTGAAATGGCCACCTTTAATACAGAAACGTCACAGTCCCAAATATCGTAAGTACCACTGGTACCAATTATTAATGCCAAAGATTTCTCCCTTTATAGGTATATTATTAATGGGCTGGATAAATACAAAGAAATTAAATTCACATTGTGCTTTACCTCTTGCCTGCTTACACCTAAGCAGAAAATAAATGTCAAACACAGTTTTTAATCATTACTATTACTTTTTCCTTGGAAGAGTGCAGTTTTACATACTGTAAAATAAAAAGATTGATAACTTTTCCCAATTACACAATATACAAGGTTATTCCAAACAGAACTTTGAAGTTTTGCACAATTTTTTTAAAAAACACCTAACTTGTTTGTTATCTGCCTTATAAAAACAATGGGTGGAAAACAGGGTAAGATCTTTTACAGCATTAGCGCTGGCTGAACATTTCGAGTGTTCCAATTTCCCATCAATGGCGACTATTAAACTGGACTCAGAGACAAGACCATGCATGTTTATCATTAAAGTAAACAGCATTTTAGTACCAGATCAATTCACAGATCTCACCACGCAGGCTATTAAGTAAAGCTTCTTTTTCTATGTAACATAAGTCCGTGCCCTTCCGCTGCAGCAGTGGCGCTGCACATCCCCCACCCCTGCGGCCACTTCCGTGTTTACACTCCTCTTCCCTCCAATTCCATGCGTACATTGTCAGCTTCACTCCCGCCCAATCTTCATTGGCCTAACACAGACCCTTAGTCCCGCCTCCAGATATCTACGTTCCTATTTGGGACATCTCAGAGAGCAGATTGGAACCGGAGACCTGTCAATCCTATCGGTTCTGTCCTCTCCGCTGCGCTTCCGCTATGGTGGGAGGTTTGGGGGGGAGGGGTATAGGGGGCAATTCCGTACTGAGACTTCCCTAAGGCCAAGACTCCTTCCCGCCCGTCTCACCCACATTCACCCACTGTTTACAAAAAGGAATGTTCTCTGATGCCCCAATGCTCCAGACCAGGGGTACAAATGATATTCCATGTCCTTCCTATTTTTCCTCCCTGGGGTGGGAGGTGGGGGGATCTGGAGGGAAGGGGTACAAGCCTAGTTTCTTCAAAACCACCTAATAAATGAGGAGAGTGGGCCCCTGAAATAAGCACCTTCCCAGTTACTCATTATTAAAAGTGACCCTTTTCAGAACCGTTACTCCTGAGGCTGCAGGAGGTTGGGATAGGAGGAGGGTCAGAGCATTTTTTGGCGGGTACTGGTCGGTCTGACCTCTTCGGGGGCTGCCTCGTCCATGCCGAAGTCACGAATGTGTGGAAGAAGCCAAAAGGAGGATGCAGCAGGGGTGCGAGTTTTCCAGGGAGAAGCCCGCCGCCCCCGACCGCGGGCAGGAGCGGCCTCTCCGGCCAGACAGCGTGGCAGGCGCAGCCAAAAGACAACAGCCTCACTCACTTCCTGGTTCCTCCGTAACGGGGGTGAAGCGCACAACTCGTCCGCCCCTAAGCCCCTAACTTATTTGTGGCTCTCTTCTCCCGCACACACTGGCAGCGCTCTGCTCGGCAGCTGATGCCACTGCTCGCCAAACCCACCCAGAAGCGACAGTGCCGGATTCAAGGCAGGTTACTCTCCAAGGTGATCACTTCCTGATTCGTCGCCTCCATTACTTCATTCACGACCCCCCTTTCCCCCAGCCGCCCGAGTGACTGTGAGGTAGACACTATGTCCCCTTGCACTGACCGCTAAAGAGGAGTCACCCCGCTTTCTGTGCACCCCTTCTCCTGTTGCAACGATGCACGGAAGAAAAGTTCCCCGATCCTTACCGGCCCGGATGAGCAGATCCAGCTGGTTCGTGGGTCCCTCATGCAGAGACGTCGCCATGTTTATCCCGGGGCTGGAGCTGCTGCTTCACATTGACTTACACCGTGAGCAGCGGCAGCAGGGGAGGAGGCGGAACCCGCGGCCGGAGACACACGCCGTGCTCCAGACACACTCACGCACTCGCGTACACACTCAGACGCCTGGATCCTTGCGCGTCCTCAGACAGGAAGCCGCGGCCGGCCCGCCTCCCGCCGCCGGGCTCAGAAACCCCACCACCTAACGGCAGGGGCGGCGGCAAGAGCGGCCTCCACTGGCAACGCGATCCTTCCGCTCGGCGCGCAGACAGGAAGTCCCGGACGCCCGCTCCCGAGAGCGCACAGAGCCCGGAGCCGAGACACCTGAGGCTGGAAGGCGCTCCCGGGGCCTCGGCTAGGTCGCTGGCTGCCTCTCGGCAGGAAGCAGTGCATTTCACGCTCTGCGGAAGACAAGTCTGCAGTGTCCCCACCTCGGAAAAAGAGCCCACACAGCTAGCCCCACAGCTGTAAAGAAAGGTGATTGTTTTAACTTGTTTGGGCTCTCTTCAAAACCTACGCGTTCATTTTGAAGAGCAGCATTTTAACAGAAACAACAGCTAAAGGTCATACCTAGAAAATTTTTTAAAGCTTTATTTGGAAGGTGAGGAGCTTCCAACTAGTTTCGCAGACCGATTTTAATCTCCGCTGCGGTCAAATCTTGTTGTTCATACGGTGGCTATGAGCTGAACTCTACTAAATGGCATCTAACAACAACTATAAAAGTCAGAGTGCACTGAAAGGTGGTTCATAAACCACAGAAGACGCCGGACTCAAGAAGATGGTATAATATGCCTATATAAGTTAGCCCTGGAATTCCCGTACCCTTCCTACGTGATTTATTTGAAAATAAGGAAATGTGTTAACTTTATATCATTTTAAGAAAAATCTTTCGGATGGAAACAGATCTGATTACAAATAAAGTGCATATTAAAATACATAGAGGAGATAATGCCGTAAAATGACTAGAACTTGAGAGAAAAATCAAAATCAATAGAGAGATGCAGAAGAAGAAACAAAATTCTTCCCTGTTTTCAGAATTCCACTAAGGTAAAGAAAGAAAAAAATTTATGTAACAAAACACTACCTTAAGTTTTTCCCAGACAAAATTCAAGTAAAATAATGCTTCCTGTAGAGTAAGTGCCCTATAATAATTTGTTGAATAAATAACAAAGAAACTTAGCAATTATAAATCTGAAATAGTGACAATTTTTATGATCCAAATTACTTACGATAATTTACAGAAAAATTCTCCCAGTGGTAACATTAATACAATACCATTCAATAAAAAATTGCACAAAGTATGAACCAAATCAGAAGGAATTAATAGCTGTCAGTTTTCTTATTTCTTGAGTATCTCCCAGAGTCCTCACCCTACAACCAACTCCCTTTCTCCGACTCCCAAAAGAACCTACATACCTTTCCAAGGTATAATTTCCCTTTAACCAAGTTAAAAGTGATATTTCCTAAAGTGCTTAAAATATGGCCACTCAATTTTTTTCCCCAATCAATTTGAAATAAGAATGACATCCATTGATAGGCTTCATTTTAAACTGAGACAGTACCCAGGTATGTCGTAAAGTGATTAGAAACATCTATTACTGGGGTAATTCCTGGCTTTAGGCAGATACTGAAATTTGTAACAAATCTTGTTTTATATTCTTAGCAAATATGTTTTTCTTGTAGTCTGTTTAGAATAATGATGTAACCTAAATGCTTATGCCCTCCCAAAAACGGCAAATACACTGTGCTCAAGAATGGGTACTCTTCTAATTTCCTAAAATTTATCTTTAGTACTTGCAATAAATAGTGCATGGATGTGTGTGTGTGGCATTTACTCTGTATTCCCTAGTTGTAAGTATCTAAGAGAGCTCTCTATACTATAGTGAATGTATTCCTTAGTTCTTTCTTTGATGCTTCCTGGATCATGTTTTTACTCACAGTATTAACAGTATTGCAATGTAAAGTTTCAACTTCTTTTTAAATTCTTTCAGCTTCATAAATGCCAAGTGAATCTTCTATTTTTTATTTTGTAACTCCAATTTTTTGCACATTTCGTTACAATAGTTTGTCTTCTTGAGCTGATCTTTGAAATTTGTTCATCTCGGCCAACTAACTGGAAGAGATCTATATTTGTTTCCATTCAACAAAAGATGATCTGACCGTGTGGATATTATCGAACAGTATCATTCATATCACATGCAAGCAAGATTATGCTGAAGATTATAAAAAAAAGACTGGAACAGCACACCAAAAGAGAAATGCCTGATGTGCAGGCTGGATTTAGAAGAGGCCATGGTACTAGGGATATTACAGTTAATGTAAAATGGATCTTTGCTAAAATCAGAAAGTACCAGAGTATCTATGTTTCATTAACTATGCAAAGACATTTGACTGCGTAGATCACAACAAACTGTGGGTGACTCTGAGAAGAATGGTAATTCCCAGGACACTGCATGGTTCAAAACTGGGAAGGGTGCACACATCAAGGATGTGTCCTACATCCATATCTTTTCAACCTATATGTGAAACAGATTATCTGGAAAGCTGGGCTCTATGAGGAGAAATGTGCATCAGGATTGGAGGTAGACTCATCAACAATCCACGTTATATAGATGACACAACCCAGCTTGCTGAAACTGAGAACTTGAAGCACTTGCTGCAGATGGTAAAGGACTGCAGCCTTCAATATGCATTGAAGCTTAACACCAAGAAGACAAAGATTCTCACCACTGGGCTGACTGGCAGCATCACGATAGATGGTGAAGAGATTGAGATTGTCAACATCTTCAGCTTCCTTGGTTCTACAATCAACACTCCTGGTACCAGTAGCCAGGAAATTAAAAGATGAATTGCATTGGGGAAGTTGATGAATTACTTTAGGGAAGTCTGCTGTCAGAGACCTATCCAAAGTATTGGAGAGCAACGACGTCAGTCTGGAGACTAAGGTGCGCCTGATACAGGCCATGGTCTTTGCAATTACTTGCTATGCATCAGAAAGCTGGACAATGACTAGGGATAATAAAAGGAGAATTGATGCCTTTGAGCTATGGTGCTGGAGAAGGGTACTGAATATACCATGGATTGCTAGGAGAACAAACAAGTTTGTCCTGGAGAGGGTGAAGCCAGGCTGCTCCTTGGAGGCGAGGATTCTGAAGCTTTGTCTGACATAGTTTGGACATGCTGCAAAGCAGGATCAGTCCCTGGAGAGGGACGTCATGCTTGGGAGGATGTAGGGAAAGAGCAAGAGAGGAAGACCCTCAATGAGATGTATTGATTCATTAACTGGGGTAATGAGGGTAGGTGTGTTGGAGACAAGACTGGCACAGGACAGAGCAGGGTTTAGGGCTCTTGTACATGCTATTTGAGTCACAGGTGACTCAATGGCACATAAAAACAACTTTTATTTCTGCATCTCCCCTTTGTTTTGGATTCGTAAGCAATTTTCAGTCATCTCCAACATTCTTTTTTTCTTTTCTTTCTCCCTTCTGTCATAATGATGGTATACTTTTTTCATGGATGGTATCTTTAATATCATCCCACAACACATCTGATATTTGATCACTAGTGTTCTGTGCCTCAAACCTATTCTTGAGAATGTTTTTAAATTTAGGTAGCATAAATGAAAGGTCTTATTTGGTTCTATAACTTGTTTTCATTTTCTTACACATTACTCTGAACTTGTATATGAATAATTGATGATCTATTCCACAGTCAGCACCTGGACTGGTTTTGACTGCTGAAATGGAGCTTCTCCAATGATTTCAGGAAGTGGCATATGATCAATAACCAATGGTAATGAAGAAAGAAAATTCAAGCTGCACTGAAGGCACTGGCAAAAATATGGCCGCAGGAACTGATGGGATACCAACTGTCACGTTTCAACAAACAGATGCAGCTCTGGACATGGTCACCAGTCTGTGCCACGAAATCTGGAAGACCACACTACTTGACCAGGTGACGGGAAGAAATCTATTTTGTTTCCAATCCAAATAGAGGTAATCCAACAGGATGTGGAAATTATCAAACAACATGACTTGCAAGTAAAATCTAGCTGAAACGTACTTAAAAAAATATGACTAGAACAGAAAGCTGGCAAATATTCAAGCTGGATTTAGAAGAGGGCATGGTGCTAAGGATTCCATTGCTGATGTCAGACAGATTTTGGCTGAAAGCAAAGAATACCTTAAGAATGTGTATTTGTTCAACATACAGGTATCAGTTGGTTTCTCTACAACGACAAAGAGAATACAGAACAGCACCTAAGAAAAACAATACCCATCACAATAGCTAATCACAAGATTAAATACTTGGAAATAAATCTAACCAGAAGCACAAAGGATCTATTTATTCAAAGAAAATTACAAAACATTACTACAAGAAACAAAAAGAGACCTGGAAAAATGAAAGAATATACCTTGCTCATGGATAAGAACACTCAATATTGTGAAAATGACACTACTACCAAACACAATTTACACATTCAACACAATCCCAATACAAATACCAATTCCAAACTTCAATGAGATGGAAAAGGCAACAGCCAAATTCATTTGGAATAGAAAGAGGCCCCAAATAAGCAAAGCACTCTTTAAAAAAAAGAGAAACAAGGTAGGAGACATCTCTCTCTCTGATTTCAAATCCTACTACAGTGTCGTGGTCAAGACTGCATGTTACTGGTACAATGACAGACACATAGTTCAATGGAATAGAACTGAGAACCCAGAAATCAGCCCATATGCCGATGCACAACTGATTTTTGACAAGGAGATGAAATCCAGTAAGTGTGGAAATGGCAGCCTTTTTAACAAATGGTGTTGGTAAAATTGGAAAACTATCTGTAGAAAACTCCAGCAAGATCCACACTTCACTCCATACACAAAAACCAACTCAAAGTGGATCAAGGACCTAAGACTACAACTAAGGACTATAAACTTCATTAGATAAAAGCTTGGAAGAACTTTAGAAGCAATAATCCACAACATAAAGAGTCTTCAAACTATGGCTGACTCTGAGAAGAATGGGAATCCCAGAACACTTGATCGTTTTAATGCGAAACCTATACTTGGACCAGGAGGCAGTCATCAGAACAGAGCAAGGGAACACTGCATGGTTCAAAATTG